AGCTCGCACGTGCAACACGAGAAAGTCCAATATAATTGATACAGACGTAACTATTAAAATTATTGATGAAATGCTTTTAAACTCATTTTATAACTATATATTAGTAGTATGCACAAGATGACTTGGTCAAAATAGCAAGATCGCACGCGCATGCACGTGTGCTTCGCTCTGATTGGCTGAAACTAAATTCTCAATATCTTTCTTGTTTCTTGTCATAATCCTTTGAAATTTTGAACATAGACCTACATTATGAAGATCTACAGCATGATATATAAGAATTTTCATGAAAGCATGCGCATGCCCGCGTGCTGCAATCTGATTGGCTGAAACTCTAAATGGCTACATCTACTTTGTTTTTTGACGAAATGCTTTGAAATTTAAAACATTGTCATGCATTAGGATATCCTACAATATGATATAGAAAAAAACATGAAAACACGCGCATGCACGTGTGCTGCAATCTGATTGGCTTAAACTTGAAATGGCTATAACTCCCTTGTTTTTCAACCAAACAGGATGGGATTTAGAATATAGATAGATGTAAGGGACTCCTACAAGAAGGTATGGTCATCATGCACGTGCACGCACGTGCGTGCATTTGGAACGAGTGAAATGAAAATTACACTTGAAAGAGTGATTTTTCATACTTTTGGACTGAATGCTTTAATATATTGCATATTAAAATATGTAGATAGTGTAGACAAGATGATATGATCATAACGGACATGCATTCACATGCACACGGGTGCAATGTAAAATTTGAATATAATTGGTATCCTTCTGAGAAAACGTTGTTAAAGTCAAAATGCACAGAGTTTGTCTTATATAATGAAGCTTACAGGGAATATGGCACCAAAAAGGAGTTGGGGAGCGTTTGGGGAACATCTGTAACGGTCCCCGTTACAATTAGCACTAGTTATTATTATTTTTCTTCTTCTTCCTGGGTACTTTTTTGTCCTGGAGTGATCTTGTAAACTGTTCATCCAATGTAGGTAAAACCTTTTTAGGGTCAGTAGACTTGTTATGTAGATTTGCGGAATCAAGGTCATTTTGCACGCACGTGCTTGCAAGAGTGTGCACGTGCAACACGTGAAATGACCAATCTAACAGATATAGCTGTAACTTTTCTATTTTTTGATGAAATGATTTGAAACTTATAATAAGAAGATATATTAGTTGCATAGACATGCTGACATGGTCAAAATAGCAAGATCTCGCGCGCATGCACGTGCGCTTCGCTCTGATTGGCTGAAACTAAAGTCTCAATATCTTTCTTGTTTTTTGACAAAATCCTTTGAAATTTTGAACATAGTCATACACTATGAAGATCTACAGCATGATATATAAGAATTATCATAAAAGCATGCGCATGCACATGTGCTGCAATCTGATTGGCTGAAACTTTAAATGGCTATTATGATAACTCCTTTGGTTATCAACCAAACAGGATGGAATTTAGAACATAGATAGACATAATGAATCCTTACAAGAAGGTATGGTCATCATGCACATGCATGCACGTGCGTGCACGTGAAATGAGTAAATTTAAAAATACACTTGAATTAGCGTATTTTTTAAAAACTTTTGAATTAAATGCTATAATATTTAGTATATTAAAATATATAGATAGTGTAGACAAGTTGATATAGTTATTACGCACATGCATTCACATGCGCACGCGTGCAAAGCTGAAATTTAAAGATACTTGGTATACTTCTGGGAAAAAGTTGTTAAAGTCTAAAATGCATAGAGTTTGCCTTATTTAATGAAGCTTACAGGGAATATGGCACAAAAAGGGAGTTGGGGAGCGTTTGGGGAACATCTGTAACGGTCCCCGTTACAATTAGAACTAGTTTGTGATGGTTTCCTTTCGTTGCTTAATTGCAGTTTATCTGATGAATTTTTGCGCAAGGGGGGGGGGGGGGGGGGGTTCAACTGTTGTTGGCTTTTTGTTTTAATATTTAGAGGTATTGGTAGAAAAACTAGAATATTTGGCTTATTGAGTGACTGATCAGATGGATAAAACTTCAGGTGCCTGGTATTCCACACTTAAAAATATTGGTGCTTATGCGTATAGATATATGGTTATGACTCGAGGTCATATCTTGAAGGTTAAGTTCACTTGTGACAAGTGTCCATGGATAATGAGTAGCTGTATTTTATATTTCATATTAAAGGCTCTGTTTGCCGCAGCCCTGTTTGTATTTTTAAGGAATCACTGTCTAGTTTTTAGAGTATGCCAGGGCATCAACAATAGTGGGAAAAATGGGATAATTTGCATAACGGGCGAAGCCCGTTATGCTAAAATTATCCCATGTTTCCCACTATTGTTGATGTCCCTGGGCTGGCATACTCTCATAACTAGACAGTGATTCCTTATATTTCCATTTCATTGTGAAATAAACTTGTTGATTTAGACTTAAAAATGCAGACATAGATTTAAATTACACAAGGATTCCCATCCCAATTTTAGTAGGCCTCGCTGAACACAACGGCAGCTGCACGAAATTTTCATGCATATTTGGCCTCCTTAGCGTCAGACTCAGAGACAGATGCGCACGAGATTTTCATGCATACTAGGCCTCCATAGCTCCTGACCTATCGACCTGCCTAATTTACATTCCGGCAGAATTATCAGGAAATCAACTCCGCTTACTTTCAAAGGGTTATCATAGAGAAAAAATTTAGAAATGGAAATATATACAAATATGAGTTTTAAAACTATTATTATATATGAAATATTTATTAAATCTAAATTTCAATCTCTGTCAGAACATAATACATGATATGATTGTACAGTACTCATTGTTGAGAAATAAGCATAAAGCATGGTTTTTAAATTGGGAAAAGGGCGAAAAAAATGATTGATGACGAGGGAAAATATTTTATTTCTTCTTTATAACTCTTTCTTTTTTTTTTTTTTATTAAGGTCTTCCGTCTTCACGGAAGACCTTATAGTGATTCTATTGTTTCTTCTTATTATTATTATTATTATTATTATTATTATTTTTCCGTACACCAAATTTTGTGCACGCGATTTCTCGAAGACTACTGGGTGAATTTTCATGAAATTTACAGAAATTATGTGTTATTATCTGAAGTTATTTTTTCCGAGAGATTTTTTGAAAATTCGCTTCTGGTGCCAAGTTACGGGACATTTTCTGAAAATAAAATGACATTTTGTCCACGATTAAACTCAAAAACGGTAAAAGATATCAACATGAAACTTTCAGGGATTATAGATCGTGATATTTACCATCCAGGACGCGACCTTTCGTTCGTCGTCAGTACTTCCTGTCGTTAGGAGAAGCGAATTGAAAAAATCGGATTTTCTAACTTTTTTGTTTTTAAATATTTTTTATTTATTTTTGGAATGATAATAGACACCCTTTGATTGATGTTTACTGTATAAGTTGTTTGAATATTGGTTAATCTGAACTCTAGATATTAATATTTGAAAATCTGAAGCGGGTCCAAGATGGCGTCTGCCTCTGTCAACTCCGCCATTTCGCGAGTAGGGGTTTGTGGAGGCAGCTGAGCGTTTGATTAAACCATTCTTACATAAGGATACATGAAATGTAGAAAACTACTTGGACTTTCACGTAGTAGTACGTTGTAATTACGTGTCAATCTTAAAACTTAATTTCCGTTTCACTGCTTTAGTTTAACTGGGCTAGATACGATATGTAATATGTACAATGTGTTAAATATACCTTCTTAACGTCGAAATAAAATAAAGGCGATAAGAACGTTTTATTTATTTAATTTCATTGAAGCTATCACACCTATTTAATAGATCAGTCCAAAGAAAAGACGCGAATATTTACTCGTGGTGTTTGGCACGAAATTATCAATAGTGGCCCGCCTATTATAATTCTTAGACAGGTGTACTGTTGCAAATGTATACACAAGTATATTTAGAGCAGTAGCTTAATGGTTTGCGCGTTAATAGATCACGTAGTAATTATGTTACAATTCTGTGTCAAACTAAAGATTTATTCCAGGGTCTTCTCAAACGTCTTCTGTAACTGGTTTTGGTTGGTTCTCAAAGTAGAAAAAGAAAAGACTAAATGTGCAAATGAGAGATACCTATTATCATTTGTTTTGCAAGACGGAAAAACAGATCTTAAATCATAGTTATAAGTTATAGTTTTTCAAGAAACAATATCGATGCATGTATATAGTAAGTATAAAACGTATAACCACTGTTTTTCCCATGCACACTTGTGTGATATTAAACGAATAGAAAAGACAAAAATAAGAAAACCATTTTAATAAGATCGTCTAATGGAGTTTATATTAACATTCTTTTCTCAAAGATCTGAATCAAGTTATTGAACATAAATGGTATCTGATTCCTTGACTGTCATAGAGCGAGGCAGGCATGTTTTTCGGCGAAACATTTCAACCTTTTATGAAAGTGTAACTAATCGGCATAGTTCACTTCTGAGACGGGAAATAAAAAAAATTAAATTATAGTCATTTCACTGCTTTTGTGTTACTTTTCTACAGAATGTGTACAATGTGTTAAATATATTTTCTAAACCTCGAAATGTAGGCTATGAGAACGCTCTTTTTTTCTTAATTTCATTGAAGCTATCACACCTTTTTAATAGATCAGTCCAAAGAAAAGGCGCGAAGATTTGACGTGGCGTTTGGCACGAAATTATGAATAAAGGCCCGTCTTTTATAATTCTTAGACAGGTGTACTGTAGCAAAAGTATACACAAGTACATTAAGAGCAGTAATCCCAATAGCGTTATGGTTAGCGCGTTGGGGATAAAAGGGGGAAAAAGCGAATTGGATTTTCACACTGGCGACCTGGATTCAATTTGTGACCAAAATTTTTAATCAATTCTCAGCTCGACTTTACGAGTTTTTTTTTCCAGAATTAGACGGAAGACCTCTCGTTGCTCGCAACGAGATCGTTTCTAGTTGAAATTATTTTTTGATTTGGTGGAGGAAGTCCTCCTGAGTGACTGACATGCTTTGTTTTCTAGATAGCACACTCACTGTCTCATTTTGGTCCGGGTGCACCAGGACAGCCCATTTATTTTGACGAGGTCGTCTGTGACGGGGATGAAAAGTCTCTGTTGGACTGTAACTCTAATAGCTGGGGAACCCACAACTGTAATCATCAGGAGGATGCCAGTGTCTCATGTTATAATGTCACAGGTAAGATAACTGGAGCTCTGATGTTATTATGTCACAGGTAAATGTTCCAGATCATGGCCCCTCACGTTGTGATGTCATAGACGAACCACAAGGTATTTCTTTTCCACCTTGTTACAGCCAAACATGTGTTTCAATGAATGTTAATCAGTATAAATTTAGGTTTGACATACAGTAATAATCACAATACACAAGAGGTTTTATGCCTAGGGATACTCTGAATTCCACGAAAAACGGACACCTGCCATTTAGTGTGTTAAAGAGATCAATGTTGTGTTATCACTTGACAAAATAGTGATTGCAGTTATGCATGTTTATTGTGGCGGTACAATTATTTATAAGCAAGATTTGAAAGGAAAAAAACAAGAATGTTAATGTTTGACTAAAGTAGACATTGTATCTTTTGTTTGTCAAAACTTGAAAGCCACACAGTGCCATATGCCCATCCCACTGGGGCTTGTCTCTAGGGGAAAAAAATAAATTGAATTTTGTGAAGCACATTCCAGCAATTGACACTTAACTAGAAGTGCAATCTACTTATTATGGGGTAACATAGAGTATATGAAAATGTTCTTAGAAAATCTTTGTAAGAAAGATCAATTCTTATTTCAGCACGTTTAAATTATGCACTGGATCAGAAAAATGTTGGGACGGTTGAAATCAGTGGAAGTAAGGGGTGGTCTCTGGTGTGTGATGAAGGCTGGGATGACAAGGATGCTGAGGTTCTGTGTAGGGAGCTGGGCTTTGTCTCGGGGTTCGCCATGACCAAGGCCGAAATGTACATGGTAGATGAGTCCTCCTTTACTGATGCCTACTGGAAGTTTAACTGTACAGGGAAGGAAAGTAGTCTGGCCAATTGTTCCAAGGTCGATTACTGGCAAGGTCATTGTAACAGTGATAGCTTAGCAGCAGCGGTTTGTCACGACAAGGAAAAGGACAAGGTCAATCAAAGTAAGTACACCCAGTAATTTGAGAACTTTCCTATTGTATGTTAATCTCAATGGAGGGAGAGATGAGAGGGTATGCCCTCATGTCATTTGGAGTTACATAATACATATACAGCCAAATCTCATTCTCTCAAACAGAAGGATTCTGGGGAAAAACTTCAGGCTATCTGTGGTTTGAGATATTGAGGTTAAATGCATGAAATTAAGTAATTAAGACTTACTGTAAGTCAACTTTCACATATCTGCAGTGATATGTGGAAGTTTTGAGATACGAAAATTTAACTGTACATGTAAATCACACCATAACACCTTTGAAATATAAAAGTTTGGATAATTTTAAAGGAAAGTGAAAATATGCAGATTAATTAATGAAATCTTGATGATTTAAGTCATTTTAAGATGTTAATATTCCTGGTACCTGCTATATATGCACAGTTGGCTCACAAAGTTTGTTAAGAGTAAGATTTTTATATTAACTTATTTATTTCCCTGTACTGATACTGAGTAACAAACCTTGGGAAGTTAAATTTATCTATCATAGAATCATGTAAATGATGTAAAACTTTACAGATTTATATGCGTACAGTTTTTATTTGAGTGGTTACAGTGTGGGGGAAAACAGGAGATAAATAAATTTGTAACAATTAAATAATGTACTGGTATTTAATATTACAATGTATTATTACATATACCACTTAACCACTGCCGTCACACTTAAAACTAATTTAGTTTTATAGTTTCTTAGCGAGACCTAAAGCAAGTCATTAAAGTGATGGGCTGGTAATGTTGAAAGTAATCCAAACTATATTTAATAAGACATTAAACATTGAATGCAGTCATAACAGTATTTCAGTTTTTATTATTACAGCATGTAAATATAATTGTATTGCCAGGTATTTGAATTAACAGTACATTGTATTTTGATCTTGTAAATTTATAATACAAATATTTAGGGTCTAATGACTCCCTAATGAATTCCCAAAAATGAATTATTCATAAATTCACTATTAGCCTTTTCATGATTAAAATGCATATATTATTCTTAGAAAACTTAGGCATTCTTGTAATTTAATGTTCTAGAACATGCATGTAGATATTTTCTGTTGCTGAATTACTTTTTATGTAATTTGAAAAAGGACAAAATAATGACCACAGGCTATTTTGAGCAAGGTTGGTCACAAATTTGTTTTAAGCATAAGGTTAATGTCAAGGTCATTTGCGAAGTGGCCTTTGGGATAACAATTACAGTTTTAAACAATAACAACGCATGAACACCCAAGCACACACAAAAAAGATGATGCTAATTAAAAAGAGAAGAAAATAAATTCTTAACAAGATAAGGTCATTATTTGTTTTAATTTTTGAATTAAGTTTCCTTCAACATTTGCCTTCTAGTACTCACTTTCATTAATGTGGTAGTAAAAAATATATTTCTGCATTTATCTGTAAGGTAGGACACTTGACAAAATTCTAGGCCTATGCTATCAGAATTTGAACAAACTTAATCATGAACAAATGTAAATAAAAAATTTCCTAACATGAATATTTGTGTTTTTCAGCTGTTGACCTCCGATTAGTAAATGGAGGAGAGAAATGGGGTCGCATTGAGATTCGGTACCAGGAGGTCTGGGGACATATTTGTGATCACACCTGGACAGACTCTTCAGCAGATGTTGCCTGTAGACAGCTGGGATTTAAGGGTGGGATAGCATATGGAACTTACAACACACCCAGTAAAGTAGCCTGGATCTCTTATCTCAAATGTACCGGGAAGGAGAAAAGACTAGAAGAATGCTCCACGGGTCCCAGGGCCATGTGGGAACCATTCTTTGGGTGCACTGCTGCTTCAGTGCTCTGTTACAATGAATCAGGTTTGAAATTCTTAATGATTTATGCCTTAATTATTTACCTTAAAACCCATCCAATGATCTTCAAATGTATCTTGACTTTTCTTGATTTTGCTTAAAGAGAGTACCTGGAACATGCTTAACTTACATGCTTAATTTTTAAATATAACAATGTTCTTGAATTGCCTGATCTCTTTATTTTCTAGCACCGACAGTTTCCATCAAGGGCGGGGGAAGTCAGGGTCAGGTGGAGATTTTATATGACGGAGTAACTGGGTCTATGTAACACCTACTGGTCTAAGTACTTTTCGCCCGAGTCCTCTGTAAATCCCAGGGCTACGTGGATGGGGAGGTTAAAAACCCCTCTCTGGATCAGAAACATGTATTCCTGAGCAAGATGATTAACGGCACAGGATTCCATCTTCAGATGTAATAACTCGGGCTGGGATGTGTACGAAACAAGGTGTGGGGGCTACGCTACAGTGATGTGTTATAAAAACAGTAAGTGGAAGCACTGAGGGTTAGTTATATCAATAATAGAAATATTTATTTACGTGTATCTGTCACTGAGTAGAACATGGCTTGAGAAGACAATTAGGGATGAAAGAGAATTAAGGTCAAATTACATAAAAATGTCCATGATAACATCATATATAACCATCATTTCTGATTTTATGTCCTTGACATGTCCTTGAATCAAAATTTATGCATTGATTATTTATTATTAACAACTTATTGTTACATGCATGCACTCTTGTAAAATTTTGATTATATGTGCATGATGTAATGGAACATTTTTCTAGAATTTTTGAATCATTAATGAATACCAGTAAACAGACATATTTAAGTATTTTTACAATAGTACATTTGTAATTTTAAAAACAGAAAAAAATCTAAAATGAATTTGCTGTAATAAAACTTCAATTTTACTATAAATTTCAGTCCGATTAACTGGTAGTTTGAACAGCAGAACCAATGGGATTGTAGAGATTCTGTTACACAACACGTGGTACGCTCTGTGTGGGTCAGGGTTCAATGACGTCAACGCCCAGGTGGTGTGTAAGGAGATTGGAGGCTTCACCAATGGCACAAAGTTACCCCCAGGGGCATTTGGAAAATACTATGGGCAGACTGCCATGCCTGATCTGATATGTAAAGGAAATGAAACAAGTGTAATGAACTGTAGTTTTGACCCCCTTAAAAGCTGCAGTAATCAACATTATGGCTATGCATCAGTTAGCTGTTTTAATGGAAGTTTGGAAGAAGGTATTGAA